TCTCTCTCTCTCTCTCTCTCTCTCTCTCTCTCTCTCTATGTCCCTTCCACCATAAGATTATGTATGCAAAATTAAACGATATTAAATTTTACGATAAATGCTTGTACAGTTTTAAGCATTTTAGTATAAGCTAACACAAGCTCTTTAAATATCACGACGCAATGAAACACGCTTCTTCACCTCGCAATCTGGCATATGCGATCGTATGCAAAATAATCGTGCCTATCTCGAATTTCGCATTTCAGGTTACTATGTTAAAACATCACGCAGTTACGGCCGATAGTTCAAGATGACTGTGGTGGCGCAACTCTCATGTAAATGCGTGCAATTAAATGTTTCCCAATTGCGGACGAACGAAATCACATAGCGGGTCTGTCGAATCGCATCTGCGAACTTTATTCGCGAAATGATAAACGCGAATGATTACCATACACCGCGAGTGTGTCTCTTATAAAGTATTAACGTCGCGATTGCGTTACGCGATGTCGGATGTCGTATCTGATCGACTCCTTGCCGCCCACGACCTTCTCGGGCGCTCGCGGGAAAGTAGCGGCTTCGTAACTTCCGGGCTTCCGCAACTTTCGAAGCGTTCCCCGATCGCGTTGACGCAACACTTGCGTGCAACCTGCGACTTCTACTTGTTTGACAACGATATAAATCGTTTTATTATTATCTATTGAACGCATGGGAGCTCGTATAACGAAAAGCTGAAGAGGCTCCCAAGGAAATCGAAATAAGATAATGGACGGACTTAAAAGAATTCACAGGGTCTAAATGCTGCGCATCATTGGCGAAACGAATTCGGTTCGAAGACAAGTGTTACATGGACAATTCAATACAAACATGGACGATTCGACTCGCAACTAACAAAACATTAGTTCAAGATCGACTAATGTTATCAAATTTGAATTATTGCTTTAGACAAATGTTCTAATGACTGAACTAGTAAACAAGTACATGTTTTACATTTTTATTAGTAAATAATTAATGGAATTACTAACGAAACTAATGTTTACATGTTACTTTGGTCTGTCAGCAATCGAAAAATAATAAGAAATAAAGTAATGAATAAAAATTAATTATAATTTTAACGAAATGTCAGACAATTCCGATTATATCGATAATTGAACTGACAATTGAATTATATCCGGAATACCGAATAATATAGACTCAGTGATTGAATGTTCATTGAATAATATTATAAATTGGCGTAAAGAAATATTTGTTAATAAAATTTCAAAAACTTCTTTTTAGAAATATTAGATACAAATATATTATTAATGTTTCGATCATTGGCACATGTTCATTTAATAGGATATTTATCTGTGAGAGGAAATAAGAAAATAATATTAATTTGTATGTGTGAATTACGGTTAATAATCTGGATTAATCTAATATTGTAAGTCTTCAAAGATTTTCTGGCTTGTGCACATTCCACGGTGAAAAACCGATAAATTAATTTACACTGGCTAACTTCTTTATAGTTCTTTGTCTGTATTATTTCGTAACGATTGCGAGCGTGCTATCATGTAAGCTGATGCTTGTTCTTTAACGAGATGCGCTGTGCTGAAATAACGAATAATGTGATTATTATGATTCATATGGAAATGATACTTAAAATAGCTATTTCATATGTGCGTTCTCGCGATCGTAGAAGGTCAACCCGTTTCATGGGGCGTGAAATTCCTCAGCGACGCTGCGTTTCGCACGGCTATTCGTTTCGGTTATAATTTTGTTTCAAAATCGCCGAGTTATGAATTGCTTATTTTAACCCCGAGACACTTGTCTTCGAACCGGATTCGTTTCGCCAATGATGCGCAGCATTTAGACCTTGTGAATTCTTTTAGGTCCGCCATTTCGCATGTATATTCATAATCTTAGTTTACATCTTTCTTACAGTCTTAGTTTACATACATTCCCCCTTTTAAATGTCATAGCAATCTATTAGCACTTAATTATATGGAACATTACCATGTCTGGTTCGATAGGCATGTTTTGCACAAATACCATTAGTCCAGAAATTTGTTTGAATAATGTTTGAAAATTTTATTGCTGCTTTCTTATAACAATATCATCATCGTATATTCACATTGAAGATGATATTAGGCGGATGGAATTGATAATGACTTAATCATAACTGTCGATCGATAAGAGTGCGAAATAACGTAGGAATTCTCATACAACTCGTAAGAAAAGCTTTTTCTTCATAAAATAATTTGAGGTATATTTAGAAAACAATTTCAAAATGGTTTAGAAACAATGAAATTGGCAGCTTACCAATCTATTAAAATTGAGAGTGTCATTATTGTATGTGTGAGTGTATGACAAGCTTGCCCAATAATTACTTCATTAATTATTATTAATATTAGTATAATTTATTATTGTTTAGTATCTTTATATATATCCTTATATATACCTATATTATATATATATATATATATATCCTTATAATAATTATTATTACGTAAGTCTGTTGAGATTAACCCGTGATTTTGACAGTTTGGTACACGGAAAAAAGGTTTGGTTGAATTAACCAAATATCTGGTCGAATATAAACGATCCAGAAATTCCGATTAAAGTAACACGAATTCTGTTTAAGTCAACCAAAAATCTTGTTAACTTAAATAGAATTCGGATTACTTCAATTTCTGGATCGTTCATATTCGACCAGATATTTGGTTAAATCAACCAAACCTTTTTTTCCGTGTGCACTTCTAACTTCACAGTATCTAAACCATTTTGCAACCCACCATTCAAACAAAATATAGCTGAATGTACAAGTAGAACGAGAAGTCACCAGCCTTTTATTTTCTCTTATTATGTCTTTTTCACGGAATGCGCGTAAATATCAGAAAGTCAGGTTATAAATATGACAAAGTGCAACGTATAGGCGTGAAAACGTGAGTATACATCACATGATGAACATTATTTTCGTCTTACCACGGGTGCAATCGTCGCCTTGATATCCAGGATTGCACTGGCACTCGTTGGGTGCGACACACTTGCCCGCCAGGCATTTTTCACAAAGCGGCAAACACCTTGCGTCCGCGTCGTCATGAATCACCAGTTTTTTGTATCCGTTGCAGCATTCCTCCACGGTCCTTGACTTTTCCTCCGTCTGAAGGAACACACATTCCACGAGATGTTATTACACTGAGAGAAAAGACTGGTAACTATAACAAACTGCATTTAGTTACAGAACCTTTGAATCCTTAGTAACTAATACTAAATATGATAATAATTATCAAATATTTAATAGATCGGGATATGACATTTCATATAGTAACATCAATTAAATAATTTAGTAATAGTTACTTAATGTTAAATATTTAATATGAAATATATTACAGTTATGAACAGATATTTGATAATCGTTATGAAATTGTTATATCCTATGTAATAAAAGATTCAATAGGTACGAGTTCTATTTTGTTACCAGTATAAGTATGTTTTGTTGCAGCACAACGAAAAATTCATTCATTTGCAGCTATTACATCGTTTCAATATCTATTATTACAGATGGTTGGTTGAACCTACCAAAAATTTTGTAACTATTACAAAATCGCTTATTTTGCTCAACTATTCAATAAGTTTTATTTACCAAATATATTCTGGAAGCAAATAAATTTTACTTCTATCAAATAAATAATTTATTTTACAGAGCTAAATTAATTAATAAGTATTGCCATAGCTTTGGCCCGCTATATTTACGTCTACCTTTTAGTAATAGTAACCAAATTTTGATAATATTTACTAAATCCTTCTCTCAGTGTACATGTATCTACATCGAGATCTAAATTCATCATCACATTGGGGAAGCGTATAATATCACTATCATTTCCAACAATTGTCGATAATTTTCTTTATCGTCGTTAATATTTCCGGTCTTGCGTATGTAATTATGGGCGGTGTCACTCATTAATTCTGAAACGATCTTATGTACGATCCACGATGGGAGAGAGGGCATCGAAAACTGAGCGTCGCAGGCCCGAACGAAAGTCCTGTGACGTAATTCGTCGCGGGTGGATACACGCGTGAAAACTCACGTTCGCGAACGTGAATTACGTGTCGAGCTGTTCGTTTTTCTCTGTGCAAACGTTATATTATATTACGTCGTTCGCGTCGCATTCACGGTGACGATCGCGTCACATTCCTGTACTTTTAATTGCGAGCAAAGTCTGGAAAACGTGCAACGCTTCTTTAACGCGTCTTTATTACGCCAATTCTGCACGCTTCGATGTCTCGATCGACAACGCAGGAAACAACTAATTAAGTAAACTTTTAATTTCCACCGCTGCGTTCAGTAGATCGCAGATCTCTACGATTTCGCAATTTGACGCGTGTTCAGGGAGAATAGATTGACGTTACAAATTATGGACCTTCATTATTCCGATTTCTAAATGCGCGGGACACGCGTGGCTTAAGACTTTTGCCGACCTGTGCCGTGTCGGTGCGCGTTACTACCCAAAAGTTGTGCAATTCAGGTGTTTTCCAGCAACGTAAAAAACGCCCAGGCGACCTCGACTCGTCGAACGCGAGTAATTCTCGCTCGTTACGTTATCCCGCTCATGTTCTTATCGAGTGCATACTGCTGAACGACGCAGTGATGATAAATGCCAACCACATTACACGCGACGATACGTCCCGCTTTGAAGTGTTTTTGCAACACTGATTGTTCCATCGCGATTGCACTTATCACTACATTATTCACAAGCTTATACTTTCCTTTCTTCTTATTTTCACTTCAACGGTTTACATCTTTGTTTCGCATCCCGCGCCTGCTTCTAGTCCCTCGCAATTCAATTAACGGCGCGCGTTACCTCCGTGATTCCAGCTTCGTTCCCGTCTCATGACTTAGTTCCCCCATAACTCCCACGAAGTGGTCACTTGTTTTTCTCAATGACGGAGATTAGACAAAAAAGAAAAAAAAGAGAAAAGTAGTGATTCGCACGAATTGTGCACTTGGAGCGATTCTTCGCGTTTGTGATGTTACTCGCGCCTTCGCAATAGCGCTACAGTTTTATGTTACAAGGCTCGCACGTTCATTAACTCCTCCTAGGAACACCTCCGATAATTAGCGGTATGGTGGCAAACATTACGTCCACAACGGCACCTACCTACGCATGCGAATTCACGTCGTCATCGAGTTCCGTTCGTTTACACGCAGTCAGTCGCGTCGTTTTTACGTTACTGGCAAACAATGGAGAGTAATATTCTGAATAAAATATATAACGCCCCGATGTTGTGTCTATATGTATGTAGATCTTTATTGACAAAAACTCGGAATTACGTGTATTTCGTATAGCTCTCAAAATGATCATGAGATTGGTCGTTTTTTTAGAGTAAATCTGCTGTGTACACAAAAATGAAATTAATATCCACTCAATATTAATATACTCAAATTAATCCCTTCGCTATGAATTTTGTTTTTTAAAGATACAATATTTTTTTATTTTCATTTCATTAAACATTTTAATACGTTGACTGCCAACTACGAGATAAATCGTAGTTGGCCTTTTTGGGTAGGGCTACGATTTATCTCGTAGTTCTTTGACCTGCTTTTTTCATGCAGCTAATTAAATTCGTGATATATAAATGTAACTAAGAATAGATGGCTTCTGGGATAAGAACAAAAAATCAAGACTGGCTTATATAAATAGAAAATTTATTCATACATGAACAGAAAATATAATCATAAAAAATTTATTCAAAGTGAAAATCAACAAGCAAACATTCTGTATGCTTTTTGGTGATTACTATGTATTATAATTAGAGTTTTGAATAATATAATATGATTAAATCAAATTCTGAGATCGGAATCCTGAAAATTGTCGTGGCAGTCAACGTGTTAATATATATAATGTAATTTATAGCAAATAAAATTAAAAGTTTTTTGTTTGACACCAAAGGGATAATGCCAAGGCACTGATGTCTCACTGGGACTTTTTGGGAGAGCATATTTGTCCAACATAACGAGTAGAGTGATAGCTAATGTGTTCTGAATGTCAAAAGCACTGTTTATTCAATTGAATAAAATTATTAATAATAATAGTGGGGTTATATGTCCCGTTGGTAGCTAAAATTATTAATAATAATGGTGAGGGTATATGTCCCGTTGATAGCAAAAGGGTGTTTCATATATACGCAAGGATATATAATTTCGTTAGAAAGATTTTAAAGTGTTGAATTTCAACAATGTTATAATTTTATTTGGTTGTTACGATAATCTCTTAAAAAAAACTAATTTTCTTCTTGTATAATATAATCATTTTAACGGCAATGGTATCTTCTTTTGACATTTAAGAACATCATATTCAATATTTTGTGCTTTTCATTCGCGAAAATTATTTTTGAATAATAAAAGTATTTTTCTTCTCACATATAAAATGTGTTGATATAAGTTACTTATATTCGCATAATACTGTGTGATATCATTTTAAAATTTGCTTGTCAAAAATTAAGACGTTTTTTCCAAATAAAAATGTTTACTTTTTTTTTGCGTGTAGACATGCATGGTGACGGTGCAACGTTTGAATGGTCGTGTCATAGTATGCTAATAAACTGAGGCTACGTTCGACTGTCTGACTCGGTGAAGTCACGAAGATCACGCGAATCCCAAGCCGATCGCAAGAAGCAAAGTTGGCGAAGCTGACTGAGGTATCTGCTATACACAATTCTTTTTTTACATTGCGATACTATCGCACAAGTGGTCGTATGTTTAGCGCGTTTAACAAGACGGGGTCTTTGAAAAGATCAAAGTGGATCGATAGTGGCTTAAAACGAGCGATCTCACTTTAAATATTTGTGCTGGATCGCGAAATTAATTAAAACGAACCATTCTCGTGATCACTTCAACACGTTTCGCCGATTAGGCGCGTATTATGCAAATAACTTTTTAGCGCAGCTCCCGGCAGCGAAAGCGGAAGCGATCTCTAACCGATCGGCTAATTAACGTGCGGGCTTTACAATCTCGTTTCACGTATTATTTCGAAGTATACCGAACGGCTGCACTCTCGTGAACGCATTATAAGCATAGTAAAACATTATACAATGTTGGGGCGAACGAGACTTCTTGTTTGCACAAGATAATTTACTCGTGATTTCGCTCTGCACTCGATGTTTTTATATTAGGTGTATCGCGAAGTCACTCGTTTATCTTATTTTTCCACTTGGCAATGGGCGTTTCAATATCCTTCAAAATTAAATTTACACACATCGAACAGTAATCGCTTGTATATACGTACGAATCGTTCCTTCTTCGGAAACATACGCTTTGTACAGAATCAAATATAAAAAATATAATAGAAATGAGTCAATAAACAAACAAATAAATATATTTTCAACGACGTGTGCGCACAGCAAGGAAAGCGGTTCTTGCAAAAGAGAACGATGATTATCGTAATGTACGTAACGCGTTATCGATAATGGTGAAATTTCCTTCTTTCTCATGAGCCGTACGAAATAAGTTCATTGTCCACGTAATGAGCAGTGCGCCACTGTCTCACGTACATACACGCGCACGCTACCTTTCATGTGCTTTCATACACGCGCGTTATAAACGTGTTCTCTCGTCTTGGCAGCGCGGGAACGCCTCGTGCACAATTTCTATTTTTGGGCCCAAACACACAGGAAAACGTAAGCGGTAAGAAAGTTGATCAATAACAATTGATAATGAACAGTAAAAAGAATCGTCCACTGTAATTGGTTGATTTGTTTACCGCTTAAGTTTTGCGTTTTTCTGTGTGCTTCTGACCTTAGGCTGATCGTTTTCTTCCGATTTTGATATATAGAGGTCGTGTATACCATATACCGCAATTATGCAACGCATAATTACGCTTATGAAGATCGAGAGATCATTTCACTTCCGGCCGAGGTGGCTCGATTCGCGAACGTGGCAACACATGTATACATACACACATACGCACATGTGCGCGTGTATCGTATCGTGTATGTATGTATCGCAAGTTTTAAAGCCGGGCGAGAGATTCCGAGGCCTCGTTAATTTAATTGGCAGACGGGCGATTTGTTCGACTATCATCGACTTCTATGAGAAAGTGTGAGTTTCTCTCTCCTGTAATTCCGTGAAATGGCTTTCGGGAATTGAAGTCGACATAGATACAAGGATAGTTCATAACTGCTTCATTAAGAGACAAAAAAAGTATCAAAATGATCTATTTTGACATATTTACAATACCGCGATAACGTGTTAACGAGTGCTGTACACTGTAAAAAATCTTGCGTACACAGTACGTAAACAAACGTTCCAAAAAGTCTACTCTAAATTTTGTGTCGAAAATAACTCATTTATATGTTCATTCGTGTGTTATTTACATTATGTATAGACTAGTACATAATATAAATAAGACACGAATGAACATATGAATGAGTTATTTTCGACACAAAATTTAGAGTGGAACATTTGTTTACATACTGTATACGTAACCAATATTTTTTACAGTGTATACGTTATAAATAGATACAAAATGTTATGTAATATTGTATGTTTCTGTATCCTTTTTTTTCTCTTAAAAGAAACACGATAGGAGAAGAACGTGATAGAAAGAGGAACGTTGGAGCCCGACAAATTTTTCCTCGTGTACAATATCAAAAATTAAACTCTGAAAATAAAACTGAGAATTTGATCGAGCATTAATCCGTGCTGAATTGATTCGTTCGGAAACGTAAACGACGATGAAAGATGTTTCGTCCGGTTGGCACGTGGTATTTTTGGTATCAGTTGCGTTCCCGTTCGCGCGCGCGTCGTGGACCGACACTCTGTTTACACAACACACGCGCGTCACGTCTCAACCCGTCGTTAAGCTCGCTTCGCGTGCGCGTTATCGTGTGGCCCGGCATACCGCCGTAAATCAACGCGAGATTTCACATCGACTTTATTACGTCCGCGCCTGGATAATTCCCGTCTTAATTGAAGCCGATAATCGAGAGGCTTGCTGTCGATCTCTCATTAAGTTACAAGCAGACCCGACGATCGACTACCATCGAATCGCGCCGAATCGCACTGCGAGACACACCCGAGATCGATTAAGCATACCACCGGAGTAGAAATGTAACTAGCCTGAATCAAAGGCTAGTAGCTAGCTAGTATAGGTTAGATTAATTCTGCTCGTTGCTGATTCCTTGCTAGTTGATTATTCATTGAAATACGGAATCGGGTTTGTAGTAGTTTCTGGTCCTTGTATATCAAATAGAGTAGATATGATAGATGACGCTATTCTAAAATATCAGTGTTCCTAGAAGATAAAGTGCAGCTACTTGCTCTTCAAAATGGCATATGGTGAGGATGACTCGTGTCGGTGAAGTGCGTTGCGAGCATTTCAAGTGAAACGTGCTCCAAATTACTTTCTTCATTATTTTGCACTATGATTACAATAAATTTTGCAATTTTTGAAATTCTTTTTTTCAGTTCATAACTGTAATTTTGCTTGTTTAATCGTCAACTAACTTATTTATTACTAGCCAGGAGAAGTGAGCGATAGAAGAGATATTACTGGCTAGTAGTGATGTTAGATACAAATTTACTATTTCGTGGCTAGACACCGACGTGATTCAATTTCTACTAAGGTAGTTGCTCTCGAGTATATCGTTTGTCTATTTCGTCGTTTGCGATTGAATGCGCAGGAAAAATCGTCGCTTGTCGCGCGACGAGGATACGATGTGTTTCTTCGCCTGTGCTTACCGGCGAAAATTATTCCATTATCGCGCGACGCGTATCGCAGACACGTCGGCGTCGAGTGTACGATGCGTCGAGTTAAATGCGTCTCGCAAATCGTCGACTTCCGGGCGTTTCCTTTCCCGAGGAATCGAGACGCCGTGCGAAGTCTTTTTCAGCTAATGGCCCGCTTCTGGATCGTTTCGTAATGCCGACCAGGACAGGTTCTACCTTCTTTCGGCGCGATTCGTCAATTCCGCATTTCACGACGCGTAATTGCAGCTGCAACTCGTCGCTGCCTCCTCCCCTCTTCTTCTCTTTCTCCTTCTCAATCTCGTGTGTATTTTCACATTCTTTTTATTTATTTGCTTAATCGGACGGTCGTGGTTGATGCGGACTTTCCCTGCAATTAGCCCGGATCGGCCCGGCAGGCAGCAAGCGAAAGAGACAAAGACAGAGAAAGAGAGAGAGAGAGGGGGAGAGAGAAAGAAGGAGATGCCAAACAAGGACGTACAAAAGAAGGACAGCGAATAAGAGGCAAAAGCGGAAGAATAGGCAACTTGTTTTATTGCATTATGTATACGGAGCGTTACACGATTTAACGGGGCGAAGTGCTCCAAGTGTGTCCCGACCGATCGTTTTCCATTCGCGCCGCCTGGGAAACGACATTTTTCTATAACGAGGCGTGGAAATGCGAGCTTATGTAACTTCTTCCGTGATGCAATTGCCAGTGTTAGAATAAATTACAGTCTCATTGTGTCGTGACGGCGCTCTCTCTTCGAAAATTTTTGTTTGATCAAACATAACAATGCGATTCTCGATTGCCGTTGCTTGATGGATGGTCCGCTGTTGTCTCCCTGTGTACGTCAATACGTGAAAATTTTAAGTCGTAAATCCGATTAAATCGAATACTTAACGCGATGGAGATCTCGTCAAATCGCACAAATGTTTGCAGACATTTGACAATGGAATAATGGCTCATACTCGTTATATATACCCGCGAGACCGACCTGACGCGCTTATGGTAAACTCTTTTGTTGCGCAAGATCAGCGGATTTTTCTATCCCTTTAAGCAGCCTGGGAAAATAGCACTTTTCCACGGCGTCACGAGAGCTTACGAAATCTAGCGGAGCCGCCGCTACCGTTGAGTCCGCTGATGATGGATAGGCAATAAAATTAGCGAGATTGCCTGCGTAGATACTCACGTCGAATCCTTGTACGGCTGCCGGAGAAAATAGACTCTCCCGTCACGAATAACGGCGCGTCTAGTGCTAATGAATTGTCTCCATAAGCCTTTAATACATTTCGTTCGAGATACCATCAAATCTACCGCGCGGAGAAGCATTAGAAAGAGTAATAAGTGTGCAAAGCTGCTTAACTCTATTAACATTATCACTGATATTTCTGTATTTAATCTTCTTTTCTGCGAAAAGATTATTTAGAGTGCCGTTTGTTTATGTTGAAAAATACATTTAGTACCCTATATTTGACTAAGGAATGAAAAAGACTTAGAAAGATGCCGTTGGATATAATAAAAGAAAAGATTAATAGATAGATAATTAATATACATAACTATTACCGAACTAATCGATGCGAATTCGTTTGCGCGAGAAAATTATCTAAAGCATGTTATTTGGAGCGCTCGAGTATAAATAAAATAATTAGTGTCTGATATGCTCATACTGTTTCATGTATGAACAAAGGAAAGCTCCGATCAAAGTTCGTGAAACAATGAACAGCGACTTATTTTACGAGACTCACCTTTAAGCGGTATCGCAGCCGTAATTCGGTCCGTGTCTTCGGGCACCTCGGGGGAATTTGCAGGCACCAAGTGAACGTGTTCACCACGACCGGCTCGGTGTAAGTCTCGTACGACGTGACCGTGTAACTGTAACGTTCGGTCAATTAGCTATCGACTGGTCCCGCGATTTCCTTATCGGGCCTACAGCGGCATGCCGCTGCAAGGTGCGTGCATAATAATATGTGGTGCACCGACCGCATTGTCAAGGCTTCTAGGTGAAGGCCTCTTTCCGAAGAGAGAGAGAGAGAGAGAGAGAGAGAGAGAGAGAGAGAGAGGGTGTGTGTGTG